GTTTAATCAGCATACTGGCTGCCGCAGGAAAGTTTAAAAGTCCTGCCAGAACTAGGGCGGGGAGAGAGCTGAAGAAGGAGAGTGCAGGCTGGAAGCTCACTGGGTGTGCTGTGTCTCCAGCGCGGGAAGGGAGCGACACAGCCTGCGTGGCTCCCACAGGCAACACCAGGGAGATCTTTAAGCTCCCTGCCGGGGGCAAAGCAGGGGCATCCCTTCAGCTCCCAGCGGAAGTGGAGGCCGAGGAGGCAGGGGAGTCCCTTGCACACAGCAGGAGGGAGGAAGTATTTGAGCCCCCTGGAGGAGGCAGGGGTAGAGGAGGCAGCTCTGCAGACCTCTCTTCCTCAGGGGAATATATATTTTTTAATTAAGATAAACCCTGAGAAGGGGGAAAAAGCCACCACAACCAAGAAGGCAGGCCCTGGGCCACCCTACAGGGCCAAAGATCATTATTGACAGACATCCACCTGGTTGGCGAGTGGACGGGGTGTAGGGGAGGCGGAGCCCCATGGAACATCGCGCCAAACAACCGTAAGTACTGCCAGCCATTGGGAGAGCCCCCCTGGGAAGATCTCTATTGGGAAAAACCCCCTCTCCTAGTTGTTTTTTTTATCAAAGTCGTGGCAGGAGAGGGGAGGGGCTACACCCCAACAGGCTACACCCTGACAGGCCGGGTGGCACGAAGGGTGCAAAATGCCACAATGTGTATAAACGCCCAAAGAGATCAGAACCCCATTGTGTTACGTGCTGTACAAACATACAGTACATAGGTGATTACTGATTACACTATCTTGAAGAGCTCACAACATGACCTGCCCCAGGCCATATTGCAGATATAGAAATAAAAACCAGGTTTCCTGATTCCCAGTCCAAAGCACTGTTTTCTAGACCATCCTGAGATCTAGAAGACAGTTTAGAGGTTCTAGAAGAACTTCTAAAAGTGTAGAGGTAAGATCCCCACACCTTTTTAGGAACCTCCTGTGACACGTCCTTGGCTCATACTCCTCTCTCCTGGATGTGTGTGTACAGCTTCCAGTAGTGTTACAGGGATTTGCTGAGGGAACAGCTCCAGCTGAAATGTGTCCTCATCTGCAGAGCTCAGCACTAGAATGTACTAGAATTTACCTACATTTATAATTTTATGAGGTCAAGGAAAAAGCATTGATTTTAACAGCTTTCAATAGCATTACAGTAGAAATATGTAGGGTGTGTGGCAGTCAAAGGGAAAGGCAGCTGATGTACCTAGATGACTAATTACTTATGATTACAAAACTTTTTCCATACAGACCTAGAGTAAGTCCACACTGCAGTCATCATTACTGCAGCAGAGAGAAATAATATTGGAGCTAGCTTAGGTATTCATAACAGTCCAACTCAGTGGGCATGTCCAGACGAATGTGCATGTGCATTTCCCCAGGGACAACTAGCAGTGGCACATATTTGTGCTGCTAGGGAATGCCCCTGCACACAAGCTCTGGCATGAGGTAAATTGCCCTGGGTGGGGTAGGGAAGGCTGGGGTTAGCATCTGGGCTGGCCCCAGAAGCCTTAACCTGGGATCCTGGCAGCAATCAGCAGCAATCCAGGCACGTGGAGCCTGGCTGGCAGCTGGAACATAGCTCTGGCTGGCCAGGCTCCAGTTTCAGGCTGCACACACCGTTGTCACATGTGCTGCCACACTTTTTTTCGAAGTGCTTTTGTTTTGATGTTGGGATTTCCCGGTATCTAAGTTTGGCTCCATGCTGTAAATATGCAGCGCGGAGAACCAAATCACATGCACGGGGTGTGTTTTGCGGTGCCTTAAAAGCCTTTGAGGCACCACAAAGCACACATGTGCTTGTGTGGACATGCCCAGCGTGACTAACTTACTCAGCTACTTGGGTAGCTTTTGCAGACCATGCTTAATTCTATACTGTTGTGGGTAGTGCCCAATTAGTTACCAATTGGTACTTTAGTTGACTTGGGCAGCTCCATGCTACACCACAGTCATTTCTGCTGCTACAGGGCAATGATACTGTTAGGATCCTATTTCACAATTTATTTCATATTAGGACAATGTAATTATTTTATTTTATTTGCATTGCATGTCCTACATACATAATAATTAGAACTGGGATTTTCAAAGGGGCCTAGCTTCCACTGAAAGTTGATGGGCATGTAACTCCTCTGGGCTCTTTCAAAAATTCTAGCTTAAAACATAAGCTCGAGGGCTGCTGACAGACGTGGAAAAAAAACCCCAAAACACAAAACTTCACTTTATGGGAAGAAGTAATGTGTTGATTTGACCCAGCTCCTCAGCATCTGTATAAATTGGGTGCTTTAGCAGGGCTTTTTGGCACTTTTATCTCAAGTTGATTCAATCAGCTATTAGATAAAAGCACAAAAAAGCCCCACTAAAGTGCCTGATCTATACAGATGTTGGGCATGCTGGGTCCAAGTAATGTGATACCTTTTTTGGGCATGTGCTGGGCTTGGTGCTGGAGCATGCTGAGTTTAAAGTAAAGCTCCATTTTCGTTTTTTAACATCTGCAAGCAGATGAGAGGTGCCTACTCCATGTGCCATTTACAAAAATGTATGCAACAAATATGTAAATCAAAAGCTTATTCCTTGCCTCATATACATATAAACAGAACAAATAAGTAACTAAAACTAAAAAAAGAAAGATGAGAGTATATTTTCAAAGTGCCGTTATATAAAGAACTGAGGAGACCTCATCTGGAATCCGATGTATGATCCTGGTCAGCCATGAGGAATTCAAGGATAAGTTCAAACCAGAAGAGGAACAGTTGAAGAGAAGGGATCCTGGGGAACTTGGGAAAGGGGGAGAGTATTGGCTAAGAGAAGACTAGGAACACTTGATTTGTTTAGCCTTGCAAAAATAAGGTTGAGCGGGAATATGACTGCTATATATAAATAGATGGTGGGGAGGGGAGAAAACCTGAAGGAGGCAAAAGTGCTATTTAAACTAAAGGACAATGTTGGCACAAATACAAACATGTATAAACAGGCCATGTATACTTTTTGGCTGGAAATTAGAAGAAGGTTTCTAGCTATTAGAACAGAGAGGTCTGGATCAACTCTTCAGTAGGAGTGGCAAGGGGAATGCCACACTGGTTTTAAGATGGAGCTTGATCAGTTCATGAAAGGGCTGATATGACATGGCTGCCTGCACTGAACCAGGGGATTCCTTCCAGTGAATAGCACTTCGGAGTGCTTCCATTTTTGGCAGCCCAAGTTCAAACACTGTTAAGAGGCCTGATTTTCAGAAAGGGCAAAACACTGGAGGTTACCATTGGGGTGGGTCCAGGGGGGAGGGGGTGCAGTGGTGCAGTTGCACCCCTATTTGATTTCTGTTCCTCTCAGACTTTAAAACCAACCACCTGGGAGGGCACTGGTATTTCTATTCAGGCAACCTGGAGGGATGAATTGACTTCATGGCTTATTATCATCTGCCTGATCCCTGATTTCTCTCTCCACAGGTGCTAATAACCATCTCCTTTTTACTGGTCTTGATGTTCCACTGTTTCTTCTGCAATGCTATCTGTTAGCCATTCCAGGCCAAGTCCCTCTTCTGTTTCACAGCCCTGCAGACTGTTTTTAGCTTTAGTTTAAAACCTTAACTTTGGTGTAGAAATGACTATCATTGAAATACTGGAGGCACAGTCAAGACACTCAAGAAGACTAGTTCTTACAAATCTGAATAAGATATGTACATTGGCTGGGATGATCCAGTTGGGGATGGTCCTGCTTTGAGCAGGGGGTTGTACTAGATGACCTCCTGAGGTCCCTTCCAACCCTACTTTTCTATGTTTCTATGATTTAACTATAATGACTACAGGACTAATGCTAAAACATCTGTGGGCTATGTTTTGCTTAGTTTGTTGTATTTTTTTAAACTTAATATATAGTCTAGCAAATCAGTGCAAATTCCAATAGTTACACTGGTATTTACTTTGATCTTAAATTGAATAACACACTGCTAGGCCCCTAGCATATTAGTAAAACTTCTAGTTTCTCTTTAACTGCAAAAAAATGTGTGTCATGTTATGCACGGCATCACCTGTACCAGATCGTAGATCTGCCTATGGTTGCCTCATCTAGGACACTAAATATGGAAGCACCAAAAAATAAGAACCTTTAAAATTTCCCACTATTCACCTGAGCAGACTAACATGAAGCCACTTCTCCTCCCCTTGATAACTGAGGAAGAAAGAAGACTTTCAGTAACTTCTAAAGAACAACAATTTAGCAGGTGGGGGCAGGAGCAGGGAGAGTATTTGGGGCTGGAGAGGGGCTTCCCAAATTACCCTGGCACACAATGCTTTACTAGCAACACCTTCTGATTTTTAGAAGGTGAGAACCAGGTTAAACACCTCTACTGAGCACCACCAAAAACAAAGAAAAGCAATAACTGAATGGCCTAGGAGACCTCCACACTTTAAGTAGTCATCCTGCTATATTGAACTAACTTAGTTTTGATGGGACAAAGACACAGTTTCTAGTAGTAAGGACTACATCTGATAATAAAGCCACACATACAGATGAACCTCAGGTAGATTAGACCCAATAGAAACATTTGACAGAAATATTTTCTATGGGGAAACATTGTTTGTTGTTTAAGCAGATTCCTTGAATGGAAAATGTCAATTTTGACAAAACTTCTAATGGGAGCAGTGAAAATTATTGGTTTAGACTCATTAAGAAAATCTTAGACTATCATTTGATCTTATATTTCTGTAAGAACCAAATATCATTGAAATATATATTTTTTTAATTTGGTCCTGTGAGAAGTGTTGACTTTTTGTTCTGATTTGAAACAAAACCAAATGTTAAAATAACAGAATTTCTTTTGGAAAAGAGGCTTCATTTTTAACCACATCCAAAACAGATTTAACCTCCATACTAGATAAGCTATCTTGGGCTGCTGCAGTTTGACTTTCTAAGCAGCAGCTGAGTATCTAATCCCAAATCCTGAATGCAAAAGGTAAGCAAATCACTACATACCCTCACTCCAAGAGCAAATAAATCTTCACAGTATTTTCCACTGCTTCTTCATGTCCATGAACATCACCTCTTTTCTTTCCCAGGGATGCTCAGCCAAACAGTCCTTATCCATGACTTGATCTGAACCGGATAACAGGGATGTTAACAGGATTGAGTACAAGATTGCAGCTGGATGCACAAAGGGCTTCAATTGGGACACCTGTAAAACAAAGTAATACAATATAGGCAACATGACATCCTCCAGGGCAATCCTAGGGGCCTGCCATGATTTGCTCTTAAACCACTTTAATAGATGAAAAAATATTTGAAAAGCAAAGCTACATGAACTGTGTCCACACTGTATGTGGCACCTCAGTAATTTGTACACACACCTAGCCAAGTCCTTTCCTTTTTCATGTCTTTGTGACAAAGTATTTAGCAGAATTCACAGATAAGCTGGTAACTGATGGGGCTGCACCATAAGTACCTTTGTTATAGCCTCAAACTTGTGAACTCTGGGTTATTAACTGTGTGCCTTAGCACCTGCACCACTTCCCAGTTTCCCACTTGCAAATATGCTGAGGGTTTACATCTGACCAGAATGGATCCCATTAGTGGCATCCCTCCATTAGCCCTACTCCTATAAAGCTCTTATACAGCTTTTATTTTTTGGCATCATCCTGGGCCTGTCAGTCACAGAGAGTAAAGGAAGGAGGAAGAAGAAAAGCAATGCAAAAGGAGTAGCATGTCCCCGCTAGGGGGAGGCAGTGAATGTGTTCTATCTACATTCTGGGAGTGGGCAGGTTTAATTCTGCATCACTAGTTATAAGCCTCTAAAACCATCAGGCACTATCAGACCCAAAAGATAAATAGTACAGTTGCTCCCCACTATGTTGCAGACTTCTCTGAGAAAATGGGTACGAGTCCCTCTCCTTGTGGAGGCAACAGGAGATATTGTAGAAGTGTGTGCGTGATGTATCAGATCAGCCTACTGGCAGGCTGAATCTAGTCATTGTTGTACACAGTTTAAGGGCAGGCGGGCCAGTCCCTGATATTTGGGGGGTGGGTACTGCATGTGCATGCATACTTGGGGTCTCCTACTTATCTTAATTCTTACAGCAATCTTTGTAAACCCAAAGATAAGATATTTGATTGCCCTACCCTTCGTATCCACTCTAGCTGACATTTCACTTATTAAGCACAGCTCCCTACAAATGGTTTACTGTACATTGTCTTACAGGTCTTCTTTTGAACATGCTCAGTATTCATGTTTTCTGCAATTCCTAGTTCAGCAGATTCTGCTAATATTTGGCACTTTAAGTGGTATCACCAACTTCTACACAGAAAGATTTGGGAGGTATGAAGTCCACAGCATAACCAAACCATCGTGACAGCCCAAATCCTCCAAAACAACAAGAAGCAGTGTGTGTAGACCAGGGTTCTCACCCTGCAATTTGGCCCACAGAGCAGTATCATTTGAAGTGTGGAACTTGGAGTCAAGGGAGTGGTGGCAGCATTCATTGCTGCTCCTCTGCTGCCAAATTTCTGGACCTGTGGGGATCCCCTCAGCCTGGATAACAGGGCCTTGCATAGTAGATTGTGCTGGTGTATGTCCAGATCTGGTAGGCAGGTGGCATGGTATCAGATTGGGGTGGCATGGGATCTGGTCCACGGGGCCAGAAGTTTGGGGGCCACTGGTCTACACCTGTGGTGGCAAAGATACGGCCCACATCATCTGACCTCTTGTGCTGGCCCTGCACAGGTCGTGTCTGGAAATCCCCCTGCACGCTGAATCCAATGCCTGTGGTACATACTTTGGCCAGTCCGAGACTACACTACACATGGCACCTGTTCTAGCTGATCCAAGCCAGCACAGATCTCAGAGCAGATACTGCATGCAATCCTGTCTCAGTGCAGTAAAAGCAGGCACTGGATCTGGCATGGGGGAAAGGTGGAACTCCATGAGTCCTCTACTTGCTGGGTGTCCATGGGTTCAGTCTGGTCCATGGCACTGAACCCATGCTATTAATACAGCTGATGCCCAGGGCTGATGCCTTCCTCACCCACCTAATGCATACTTCATCTATATATATATATATACACACCTGCAGAGCGGTCCTGTCACTGTGCAGGAAACTACAAAGTCTTTCAAAACGTGAGGCATCCTTGTAGGTACTTTACTATGTGAGTTACCCACATTCTATCGCTATCCCTCAGGAAATCCAGGTGCTGATAAAATCCCTGCAATCTCTTCTGATAATTTCCCAATATCAGTAATTTATGCTCCTTGCCCCCCCACCCCCTTCCAAACTGTTCCCTTTGTTACCAACCTTTGGAACTGCTGAAAGGCCATGAATAAACATCTTAGTAGATGAAGCTGTGTTCTAATGTAGACAAAGGAGTTTTGAAAGCAGCATACACTGTACATAGGATTTATGGACTTAGTGGCAACAATCAAAAAGAAAGAAAAGGAGACCTGAGAACACTAATTAAATATGTTGGAAGCAAGGGCTTTTCTGGGGAGAATGTTTTTCTTACTGGACCAGTTGAATAGTTGGAAGAGAGGTTAAACAAGCTTTTTGGGCACAAAGTACCCCTCCCCAGATCAAAGGAAAGAGACTATGTGCACTAATCCTTCCCAATTATTCAGTTGGTCCAATAAAAGATATTACCCCCTGAAAGGCCCCTTGTTTCTCACACATTTTCTGGATCATCACAATTACAACGCCAGTCCAATCCGACTAAACTTGCTATGGCAGATACTTTCATTCTAGAGCCAAGATTCTTGGCTCACATTCTTCAACTTCATAACTGTGATATTCATCATATGAACCAAGAAACCACAGGAAGGATAAAATGTATTTCCTCTCAAAAAGTGCTCAATAATTGCATATTATTTACAAGGACAGGGACTGATGAATGAACATCCCAGCTGGTACCCAGTGCTGCATCGGATTCAGTGATACTACCTGACTGCTTCTTATATTAGAGGAAGCTTCAAATCCAAGAGAAAATTCACACATTCTGAACATTTGGCTTTCTTAATGAGAAACTTATGAGACAGAGAAAGAAAGAGAAAGAAATTACACATTCATTTTCAGATATTTTCCAACATCAATTACCAGTTTGGAATAAAGCAAAAAGATGAGCTCCAAAATACATATTTCTAGTTGGGAAAGATCAAATTTTAGTCCCACTATATGTTCTTTTGAAATCAGATTTTGACTCAATTTAAGATCAGAGAAAGGGCCAGATCTATGTGTGTGTTTGCAAATTTGAATATACTATATTTATTTATTCTTCATATTTTGTAAATGATTTATTTGTGTTTAATAACACTCCCAAAGCAACATAATTACAATTATAACGTAATAGAGCATCCACATGAAGAGTTCTCTCATCCTACCAATAATATTTTATTTATATATATAATTATATATCTATAATTATACCTCCAATAATTACACCTCTATAGCCCTCCCAGTCAACGGCTCTCTGTAGACAAGCCTATAATCTGCTTAGTAAAGAAACCTTGTATATGAACCACCTATACAAGGTGGTTCTCAGTAATTTGAGGGAGCCAAGAAGTTGAGTCCTAGGGCTACTTCAACTTATGTTTTGCTGCCCATGGCTTATAAGCCCTAGAAACAGAAGCCACAGTAATTACAATCTAGCTATGCTGGCAACATGACCCTTTACCTGGAGCTGAGATTTGGAATAGAGCCCTCATGTCAGCACTACATCAGCCCCATAGGCAAGTCGTATGTTCAAGGGTCCATTTCACCACTAAAAAGCCTCTTTATGCTGCCAGAGAAGCATAAAAGACCTTTAGCAGAAGTGAGAACAAGGCTGACAATATCTTGTGTGCCCTTTCACAGAAACATTATTTTATGCTCTCTTCTGTTTTAGTGCTCTCTTAATATAAAATAGAGGTGTTTCTGAGTGGAAGGATTTGGGCTTGTTTGTGTATGGGAAAATGTAACACATACGGACAGTACCAAAATCAGTTAAGTAAGCAGTAAGAAAAAACACATGCAGTGCATGGAAACTAGCCATCTCATCAGAACATTACCAGTGCCTCCCCCTCAAAGTCCCCATTTAAAGCACCGATGCTGTACTGATTACAATTCTTGGACGAGGTGAGCTTGCCAAAACAGAACATTCTGAGCACTAGTACTCCCCAAAGACTTGTCTGGAATGCTGCATTTCTAAAGCAGGAGAAAGGGTCCTATCTTTCCAAAGGGAGAAGTGTTGTCTTATCTTCTTTTATGCCCATAGAAGGACTGATAACAGTTTCAACTAATGTCTGCATGCAGTTGATGACTCAGGTCCTTTTTTTCCATTTGCGTTACTCTGGTCTCACCCACCCCAGAGAAGCACAATACATTCACAGATGCTAATTTGAAACTAACAGAACTGTACATACTGACAAGTATGTACCACAGCTCCCTTGAAAAGTCTAATTATACAGAAGGGAAATTAGCCATCAGAACCAATATTGGATAACCCCATAGTATCAATATCACTCGGTGTTATAAATTTAGGGCTCAGTTTTGCACCCAGATACCTGAAGCACATTCATACACCAAAGAACTGCCAGAATCTACTTTGGTTTTTTGTGCATAATAGCAGTTTTCTCAAAATGGAGATCCAGACAAGGAGAATAGAAAGCAATGGGAGCCCTGGCCATATTCCTAATTGGGACTCGTATCAGTCCAGGCCCAACAGTGGTCTTGTCCATATTTGGGTTGCCATCAGACTTCAGAACTAACATGAACAGAACAGTTCACCTCTCTTAAGCAGCTCACCACAGTTTGTATATATTGGCTTTCATGGGAAATGGAAAGAGCATTTCCTTAAAAAGAAGATTTCTATGATTTCATCCTCTGATTTCTGGGGCTCAGGCCATAGGTACAAGATATTTCTACACATACCTTGATGTGTTCCTATGCAAAGAAAAGAGGCATTATATGTGGTTACAGCCTCCCTGAATCTGAACTGATGCTTGAATTTAGTATCCTTCTTCAAATGTGATGGGCCACATTTCACATTCCTCATCTAGTGAAAACTGGTGTGAACTCCATCAGAGCTAGATTTTATACCTGTGAAGGATCTGGCACCAAAAATGTTGCTGGTTCTTTTTGCTTTTCAAGCTAACTTTTCCTTATCGTAACTTATTTGAATATTCCTTCTGGCTGAGTAATGAAATGTGAGGTGGGAAATGGCTTGAAAACCAAGACTGCAATGGCAACAAATCTCTAACTTATGTTGTTGTTAAAAACCAAACAAACAGAGGCTGGCAACCAGGCTGACAAATTCTGATTTTGGCATTCTTCTGGCTCAGGGTGTTTGAG